TGATAACCTCGATATGGAAGAAAGAGCTATCTGGCGTGCACTAGTTAACTGGGGAATCTTTCAACAAAGTAGGCTTAAAAGTGACATGATGTGTGAAGACACTAATAATGAAGACATCGATCAACTAGGAGAGACATTACATGAATTAATTAAATTCATTAGATTTTATCAGATAGATCGTAAAGTATTCATTCCTGAAGTATGGGCATATAAACACCTACTTCCTGACAACTTAATTGAGGATGTACTACGTTGTTATTTGGATCCAGATGCTAGTAGATTCAGAATTAATTAATAAGAATATTGCACTAAAATTGATGAGATGGATAGATGAGCCTATAGATGATAAGATTCCAATTGGATTTGGATATTATTTTAAATTTCTTTTTCGAAGTAATAATTCAGATGGTCCTTCATTTGAAAAATTTCATAAAAAATGCGATAATAAAGGGGCAACAATTGTTGTAGCAAAAATTTCCAATTCAAATAAACTGGTTGGTGGTTATAATCCACTTGATTGGAAGGGAGATAATGAATGGAAACAAACGACTGATAGCTTCTTATTTAGATTTGAATTGGATAGTTGCCGCATGAAAGCAAAGGTATCACGCATCAGTAATCATGCTAGTGGTTTTGCAATTTGTTGTAACAGTGATGAACCAAGTTTCGGTGAAGGCCCCGATTTACATTTTTCAGATAGCATCAATATTTTGAAATCCAAAACAAAATTTTACTCTAAAATACTAAGTGTAAGTTCATTAAAATTCTCATATTATGAAGTATTTCAAGTAGTTAGAAGCTTTACAGAATCTTTTACCCAAGGTTGATTATAAAATATGTTTTATAAATAAAATACTACACTGCTTTATAAAAAGAACATTTTTAATTTTGATTAATGACTGTATAAAATTAATAGAGATTGAAACATTCACGAGTATCGATCATATGAAAAATTAATTCACAATATTCTAGTACATTTTTGCAAGATGCGAAAGGTACTTATTAAGTTCCAGAACTATTTAACTACTTTGTTTTGATTTTTATTAGAGAAACTTGATTTTATAACTTGAATTGATGCTCGAAAATTCCGCGTTAAGACAACGATACTCGAAACATATTGATTCCAATCTCAGAAAACTTCAATTAAATCTTGTACAATTTTTTTCGTTCTTGAGATAGCCTCGTTTTATTTACGCGTAATCGACCTGAGGTTGTTATGATCATCTATCCGCGTATATTGATAAGAGGAATTATGCTATTTTATTGTATTATTGTGCTTTTCAAATTACAATTTTCTTACATCACACACTTTACAAAAATCTGGAAATCGGGAATCTATTAAATGCTAACGTTAACTTGCGATTGACTATTTCCATTTTTTTTTTTAAAAAAAATGTTCTAATATTAACTGGTTTTTTCAAACTTTAACGAAGATTTCTTAATAATCGTCATGATGTTATGATTTTAAAAATCATATAGATTTAAAATAAAACATATCGAACATTATTTTATCGCGGCTTTCAAAATGGTTGAAATAGCAAATAAATTTTTTTTTCTGATGAACACTTTAAACACTCGATTACCTTAGCACGTTGATTGAAGACTAACAATTGTTTGATAAACAATTTAAACAATTACAAAATCGGGATCGATTTTCAATCAACGTGTTAAGGTAATTGAGTGTTCGAGTGTTTGTCAAAAAAAAAAACTTTATTTGCAATTTTCAACCATTTCAAAAACCGCGATAATACTACTATATTCTTAGTTTCTTTAACAATGTTTTTTTTTGTATACAGTAATGGCATATATCTTATCTACCGTATTTTCGTGTAATAACGCTCATCCCATAGTAAGGGATGTTTATTATAGTAAAATTTAAAAATACTCCGGAACTGGGTTTAGTAAAGTAAACCTTCGAACTTCAACAAAAGTTGTTTTTCAGAACAACTCTTGTTAAAGCTCGAAGAAAGGTTTACTTAGTACTAACTCTAGTATTTTTGTTTGTTTACTTTTTATACAAGAATTGCTTAAAATTTTTTAATTGTCTCAAAATAACGTTCATGCGCGTGCTCGAAATAACGCGCAGGTGAGCGTTATTACGCGAAAATACGGTACTTTATCTGTTATGATAATCATTCAACATGTAAATAAAGCGTTGTGAATACAAGTAAACCTCGATATAAGAAAGGGGGCTAGAAAAATTTTACAAAACTTTCTTATATCGAGAGTTTATTAGTAAGTTCTTATATCGTGTTAATTTATTATAGACTGACTATGGCTTTAACTTTCTATATATCGAAGTTTAATTAGTCTTTATTATATAAAGAATTTTTTATATCGAAAGTTACTTGTATGTAGAAAGACAAATACCGATAAGTCGTAATTACATCTTAATTGTTGTAAACAGTATTGGAAATCTCAATTGGTATTAATGTTCTCAAGCATTTTTTTTTTCTATACGTGAGGCATTCAAAAAGTTTGATTTCAATGAGTTTTAAATATATAAATCTAAAAAAAATCGAACTAAAGAACAAACCTATTAAGTTTATTTTTAAATTAATTAATATTTAATAAAGTTATTTTTTAAAAAAAGTTAGTCAATTTTATTAATTAAATTAAAAATTTGGCTGCCTTAATTTTGACCAAAATTATAAAAAATTTATCATGGAAAAACTTTATTTATTATAATAAAAAAAAGCCAATCTTTCTTTCTCTCTTTCTTTTTCTTTTTTTCTCTCTAATATATATTTATATTATCCAATTATATTGGTTTGTTTTTTATAACATGTTTCAAAATTTGGTTATTATATTTATATTTGTTAATTTAAGAAGTCCTGTACTGTATAATATTAGTTTTTTGTAAATAAAATAAAAAATATTAATCAAAATTAATAAGGTAATTGTTAGAAATTAGCTTTTAAAAGTTAGATTATTTTTATTATTAAATTTTATTAATAAATTATTTTTATTATATAATATAAAAAAATCTATATAATAATAAAATTTATATTATAAAAATGATTAATTATAAATATATAAAATAAATTTATAAAAATAAATTTAGATTATAATTTTTTAACCTATTTTTATATAAATCAAAATTGTATAAATTTTTATTAAATAAGATAATTTTTCTATCACAAAGTTGTTTATATGTAAAAAGTTTTTAATTTATAATTATTTTTAATTTTAATAATTTTATTTTAAAAAATATAACATGTTAAAATATTTATTACAAAAAAATATTATTATTTATAAAGTTTTTAAAATAGGTTTGCAAAATGCAATTAAATTTTTTTAGCTTTGATATTTTTAATTTTAAAATAAGTTATAAATTTTAAAAAAAGTATAACTATTTTTATAATGATTAATTTTTTATAAGATTTAATAATGTTTTTAATTTTTTTTAGTATGTTTAACTCAATTTTTGCATAAAAAATTTTTAATGATTAAACTATATGTAATTAAAATAGTAATTTCTCAACAACTATTTAATTAATTTTAATTAAATTTTTTTTATTTATTTATAAAAAACTAATATTATAACATATTTATATATTAGGTTTATATATTTAAAACTCATCGAAATAATTAACCATTCTCAAAACTTTTTGAACGCCCACGTATGTTAATAAAAAGTTGGAAAATTGATGTCCTTAGAGAAACATTGAAAACATCAGATTTTCAAACACTGATTGTAAATCAATTTAATAGTACAAGCATTTTTTGACAGCTAAAACGGTTCTACGACGATATGTTTCTTGAGATCAGCTATCATAATTATATCTTGAAAGAAGTTAATAAATATATATCGATCGATATGTAAAAAGAATGGATGATCGTTATGGTACGTATTTAAAAATAAAAATAAAGTATATATATCGATATAGTATGTAATACTGTAATGACTAATTACGTAATGTAAAGTATAATGTCATATTCATATGGATTCTTAAATCTAGATTTTATATTTAGAATCTCCGTAATTCACCGCCATCATCATCCCAAAAATCATTCTCTAATCCGTTAGAATTTAGAGATAGTTCGATTAATGAAAACAACCCGAATATTATTAGATATCTTAGCCAAAAGTTTGTAGAAATTAAATTTTAATTTGCTTGATTAATAAATTATAAGATCTAGTATACAAACGGATACGGAAATCATTTTTTTTTAGACGGGAATTTGTAAAAAAAAGGTACAGAGTTTTGAAGAGATTTCTGTGTGATAAGTTATCATCTTGTGATCACAGACCTTATAAAATATTCTAAAATAAAAAAAAATTTCATCAAATTTTGATAATCTTATTAAAAAGAAAAAAAAAAATTTGCCCGATTTTATTTTTCTGATACTGTATTCGAATTTTTTTGTTAGGAAATTTCTTGATGATCATTAAACCAGATTCGGTAATACTTTTTTAATTCAACATAAGTACAGTGTAAATTCTGGGACAATGAAAAATTTCAAATGACCGAATTCGATAATTTTCTGAGTTCGGCCGAGGTCAGTTGCCTATTGATTCCGACTCTGTAACTTATCGAATACGGTCATCAGAAAATTTCCTGTTGTCCCAAAATTTATGAGAACAAATTTGATCAAGTAGTTATTGAACCATCTTCGTTAAATCTTGCTGATTATTTCCTTTTTGAGGTTTGTATCACTCGCACACATAAGTGCACGCGATACACGTATTTTGATATATAACAAGCTAAATTTAGAAATAAATAAACAATATTTTTTCTCATTAATCGTTATTTGTTTAATTTCGCTATCGTTTGATATATACTTAGTATCTAATAGGTAAAATTTGACGATATCATAATGATAAGAACATTTTCTAACGATCTAGCAGAAGATTTTGAAAAATTATATGAAACCAAAGAACATTATGATACAATTATTATGGTCGGAGAAGAACCAAATATTGAAAAAATTTATGCCCATTCTATAGTTCTTTATACTAGATCACTTTATTTTCGTAGAGCATTATCTGATAAATGGGCTGAAAGAAAAGATGGTTATTTGATTTTATCAAAACCTAATATAATCGCATTAGTTTTTAAAATTATTCTTAAGTAAGTATATATACATATATGTATTGAAAAATTTTTTTTTTTAAGATTCTAATTCAATAATTTTATATATATACATGTATATACCGGTATATTTTTTAAATAGGTTTTTATATTGTGGAATAGTGGATTTAGAAAACGAAGAAATTGAAATAATTTTAAAACTTTTAGTTGCTGCTGATGAACTTTTAGTTCAAAAACTTATTGATTATGTTCAAGAATTTTTAATCGAAAATAATTCTAAATTCATGATACAAAGCCCTATTGAAATGCTTTATTTTATTGTTTATAATAGCCAATTTAATGAACTTAAAGAAGCTTGTTTGGAAATCATTTGCGAAGATCCTTCTTTAATTTTTGATTCAGACGAATTCCTTTCGTTAGAAGAAAATGCTCTAAAATTAATTCTTCAATGTGATGATCTCAATATGAAAGAAGGTGATATCTGGGAAAATTTAGTTGAATGGGGAATCGCTCAACGTACAAAGTTTGAAAGTGATATGAGTGATATGATGTGTGAAGATACCGATAGTGAAGACATTGATCAACTAGGAGAGACATTACGTAAATTAATTAAATTTGTTAGATTTTATCAGGTAGATCGTAAGGATTTTATTCCTAAAGTATGGGCATATAAGCACCTCCTTCCTGAAAATTTAATTGAGGACATACTACGTTGTTATTTGAATCCAGATGCTAGACCATTATACCACACATTTCCAATCAGACGAGGCAACTTCAAAATAGATACAAAATTAATGGATGAAGAGATTGCACTAGCATTAGCAAAATTGATGGGATCACGTCACTATTTTAATCTTCTTTATCGAAGTAATTTACATGGTCATTCATCACAAATATTTCATGAAAGATGTGATAACAAAGGGGCAACAATTGTTGTAGCGAAAATTTTAAATTCAAATACACTAATTGGTGGTTATAATCCACTTGATTGGAATGGGGATAATGTATGGAAACAAACGAATGATAGTTTCTTATTTAGAATTGATACAGATGATTATCACATAAAATTAGAGGAATCTCACATTAGAGATAGTGCTAGTGGTTTTGCAATTTATTGCGGCAGTGATTATGGACCAAGTTTTGGTGAAGGCCCCGATTTACGTTTTTTTGATAACAATAATATTTTGAAATGTAAAGCAAGATCTTATCCTAAATTACTAAGTATAAGTTCATTTACATTCTCAAGTTATGAAGTTTTTCAAGTAGTTAGGAACTCTACGTAGTTTTTTTTACCCAAGATTATAAGTAGATCAATGAAATATGGTTCATAAATAAAATACAGTATTACACTGCTTTATAAAAAGTAAATTTAATTTGGTTAATTAGTAAATAATGACAGTAAAAGATTGGAATCTTAATCGAATATTTACCGACATTCACCAACATTCACTGATTCGCCAAGTACCGATCATATAAAAAATTAAATTTTAATTCACATTAATATTCTGACTTTATACTTTGCAAGATACGGAAGGTATCAAGATCCCAGAGCAGATAAACTATTTAACGACCTTAATTGATTTTTAATAGAGGATCTTCATAACTTGAAAAAAATCGATGAAGGACCTATCGATCCAATCTCCAAAAAATTACCATAAAAGAAAAATATTCGATTAGATATTGCACACTTTTTTTAGTCTCATTGGTTCTTTGTCGTCACTAATAATAAATAAAAAAAATTTCTTTGAGTGAATTCAATCATGATATACTGCACCCGATGTTGATGTATTTATTCCCACTATGCAGTTATTTTTCACGATGTTTTTTTTTTCTTACGATTTTCCATGGTCACATATTTTATATCATATATATGATAATAATCGAATTTAACTGGATTAGTTACCAATATCGGTCGACATTAAAATCTTATCGATTCAGTCATCAAGTGCCCAGAATTTATGGAAACAGTTGTAAATACCACCTACAGTATTTAACCAGATATAATATAACCGATTTATATCCGGTTGTAATTTTCAGAAAGTTAACGTTAATAATCCTGGTTAATGAAATAAATCTGGTTCCAACCTCTATTACAGTATTACGTTTTGTTATCGTTATGTTATAAATTAGTACGTACCGAGTGCATATTTCCTTAATATATCCATAATAAAGCCATTAGCAGGTAAAATCGACAGAATCATGTAAACGTGTTTTCAAATTAGTGAACTTTGTACGTACGTATACATCATACACACAAAATTTGAATATACTACATATAAATGCTGTTATTGAAAAATTACATTAGTTTACGTATAAGAAATCAATATTTTATCTTTAAAGTTTACACATACCTGCATAATTTTACGCATGAAATTTTTATTTGAATAATATCTTCTTTTTTTTCACCAAATTTTTTTTTTTAGATTTTTATAGTTTTTTATAAGCAAATTTTCTAATTGAGAAGTTAGCTCTAAAATTTTACACTTATATTTATACCGGGTGTTCGAAATACATAATCCTATTTTTTTTAAGTATTGCATAAATAATCGTGATCTCAATATATAACGATAAGAACATTTTTTAAAAAAGGGACCATATATAGGAACTTTTCGAACACCCGGTATATACCGGTGGGTGAACAGGACCCTTTTTTTATTAATAAAAAAAATTGATTATTCTACGTAGTAATTGTAAGGGTCACAATAATTTGAAAACGCAATAATAAGTCTTGTTATTACCGCAAAAAAAATTTTTTTTTTAAAAAAAAGCTATTTTTTATTGGCATTTAAACGGCAAGACCTATATTAATTGTTGCGCGAACACGTTAGACTTGTTTATTTAATTATAAAAAAAATCTCATTTATATATAACGAAGTTTAACTACAATATATTTTTTTTCTGCAATTTTATGGTTATGATAATTTTCTGTCGGTAACTAAATTCAAATTCTGCAGTCATTAATTTTACTAATTTAATTTCGCTCGCAAGAATTCTAAAATTTTGTTGCGCAAAATTTCGTAATAAAACGTAATTTCCACACAAAAGTTTTAGCTTTCCTATATTCAAAAAGTAAGATGCAGAAATTTTATACTAATCTGCCCTCTCATAAAAAAGCAATTAAGCTAAATGATCTTGGATACAATTATCAGCGTAAAATAAGTGTTAAAAAGGATAAACTTATGGTATTCATTCGTCTTCAAAAGTCTGCAGAAATGTGAAATAATTTTGGACATTGTTATCATCATGGAATAGGAATTAAAAAAAGTAAACGTAAGGCGTTCATTCATTATCAAAATCTACCAATATGGAACATGTTATTGCAAAGTATAATCTTGGACATTTTTATGAATTTGGAATTGGAGTTGAAAAGGATGAGCACAAGGCATTCATTCATTAAACGCTGTTGCAATAAAACAAATCGGATTTTGTTATTAGCATGGCATAGGAGTTGTAAAGGATAACGTAAGGCATTCATTCTTTATTGAAAATCTGCCAAAATGAAAATATTAGTGGTTCAATTAATCTTGGATTTTGTTATCAATATGGAATTGGAGTTGAAAGGGTGAAAAGAATGAACGCAAGGCATTCATTCTTTATCAAAAATCTGCAGAAAAGGGAAATGCTGTTGGAATTAGTAATCTTGGTTATTGTTATGAAAATGGAATAAGAGTTGAAGAGGATGAGCATAAGGTATTCATCCATAATCAGAAATCAGCAGATATGAGAAATTCTAACGCAATAAATAAACTTGGTTGTTATTATGAATTCGAAATACAAACCGAAAAGGATGAATATAAGATAAGGCATTCATTTATTATAAAAAATCTGCCGAGATGGGGAATGTTAAAGCAATTTATAATTTTAGAGATTGTTGCTGAAATGGAATAGGTGTGAGAAGGATGAACATAAATTTAAGAAACCCATTGTTATCAAAGATCGGTCGTGACAGATGATATTGTTGCAATAAATCAAATTGGGCATTGTTATTTTTGCAGAATAGAAATTGAAAAGGATGAATCCAAGATGTTCATTCATTATAAAAATCTGCCGAAATTTGTGATTCTAATGGAATGTTTAAAGTTGGTTATTGCTATCGAAACGGGATTGGGATATCGAGAAACTTACAGGAGGCTGACGATTGGTATCAAAGGTATTTTTTACTATTTTTTATTAATGCTTATATCTTTACCAAACATAATTAGAGAAAAAAAATAAGATGTTAGGCGATTATTTAAAAATAATCATTATCCGGCATCCTACTATGATCGGGCTTACCAAATAACTCTGGTTATTTGGCAGTTATTTTTATTAAATCTAATTCATTTACGCAATTTACAATTTATTTTTTTTCAGAAAACAAATATTAAACTGCTGTATTAGGCCTGAAAGCCTTTAAAATTATATAATCGCTAATTTAATTCAATAATAAAATCATCGAATCTGCATCAATTTGAATATTTATTTCTAGTTGATAGAAACATTTTCAGCTGTGATATACAGTCAGACCTCTCTATAATCACTCACTTGGGATACAAAAAGGTGTGATTATAAAGAATTGTGACAATTATAGAGATTAAATTTATTATGTTTAATAATGCAAGTCACTTTCGTTATAGTGAACTCTCGTTATAGTATAGTGAAGATAAATTCAAAACCAGTTTATATAAAAATCCTCTCGATATAGTGAATTTACTAATAACCTCTCGATATAATGAAATTTTTAAAAATTTTTACTGTGGAACGGACTACTTCACTATAACGAGTTTGACTTGTAGGTTGTTTTTTAAAATATGCAATTACAGTATAAAGAAAATGTGCTTATATAGGAGGTGACTATAGAGAGGTTTGACTGTAGTAATTTTTGATAATCATAGTTTTACTGGTCATTTCTTGCTCTTCAGAATTATTCATCTTGGAAGTTTTATGAAAAACTCATTTACCACCAATTGTAGGATTTTTTTTATACGCATTTGAGTGTAATGGTAAGTTTACTTTGGATGAATCTTGAAAAGGTGCACAAAAATAGAAGAATTTGGCGATGAGACTGTTTATGATGTAGAGTAGGCAGGACAACTTGAACTTCGTTTTGCTTTTTCTTTCTAAAAAAACAAACAACTAAATAAATGACCATTGAAATAACGATGGTAATAAATAAATATATATATATGTTGTGCGTCAGATGCATCCTTGCGTCAGATTAGATCCGACGCACATCAGATGTCGATTTCCATATGATGCACGTCACCTGTCAATTGGCCATCTGACATGCATAAGTTCTAATCTGATGCAAGATCTTCAAAATCTAAAAAAAAAAAAAAGTGTTAAAGCAAGTTTAAACGAAAATGTAATAACGACTATGTAATAACGTCATTATGTGTAAGCTTATAAAAAAAAAACCCCTATGCTTTGACCTTGCCTTCTTTTTCTTGGAACTTGGCGTGATCAACATTGGCTATACATCTCTCATTGGCTTTTGTATTCGACATTGGCTTTACATCACATTTGGCATTGGTGGTACCTACTAATTTCTCCACATTCTGCATTGGCTTAATTCTTTGGTGCTACTTATTATTGGATTTCAGCGCATCTTCATTTTGCAGTACTTTGTCGTGTCGTAAATTTTTTTTTTAGCCTTATTATAGCTCTGAACTTGTTCTTATCTCCCTTAAGCATTGCAATTTTTTCTTTGGCACTGCTTTATAATTTTGGTTTTGTTCTTGCCTCATTAATCATTTGCTTTTTTCTTTGGTGCATCTATAACTTGATCTTCTTTAAACATTGGCTTTGTTCTTTGGCGCTGTTATATAACTCTGGTCTTGCTCTCTCTCTTAAGCATTGGCATTATTCTTTGGTGCTGCTTTATATTTTTGGTTTTGTTCTTGCCTCATTTAAACATTTGCTTTTTTCTTTGGCATGCTTATAACATTGATATTGTTCTTACTTTTTTTAAGCGTTGGCTTTTCATTCTTTGGGTGCTGTTATATAACTTTGGTCTTGTTCCTCTTCCTTAAACATTGACATTATTCTTTGGTGCTGCTCTATAACTTCTTGTTTTCTTTAGGCATTTGCTTTTTTTCTTTGGCGTGCCTATAACTTTGATTTTAATTTTATTCTTACCTTCCTTAAGCGTTGGCATTTGTTCTTTGACGCTGTTATATAACTCTGGCATTGTACTTGTCTCCTTTAAGTATTGACTCTGTTCTTTGGCGCTGCTTTACAACTTTGATCTTGTTCTTATAATGGAGTATACGTTCATCAATAGAAATACTCTTGACTAAATCATAGAAAAATATATAACTAACCTTCCAAAATCGAAACAGCAAAAGGCCCTAATAAACAATGAACTTTTAAATAAGATAAAAACTATCCTATTAAATCTAAAGGATACTTCACTCTATGATAAAAAGTTATGATCTTGGGCTAAAGACAAATTCATACTTGAAGAAATTGTACCAGGGGATTACAGAGTACACGTAAAGGCCATGAACAATCCTGTATTAATAGTTGAAAAGTTTTACAAGGTTCTTTGTCATACCCATGATGAAATAACACAGCATAGCAGTCAAAGGCAGACGTGGAGCTCAATTAATGAAAGATGGGGGTATATTAAACAATCAATCATGGAAGAATTCGTGAACAATTGCACAGCATGTGTAACAAGGAGGCCAGCATTCCACCCTTTGGCGGCGAAACTGATAATTGCCAAGAATTTTTTGTCTAGGATGCAGGTACTATAAATTTTGTGTTTGTTTGAAATTAAATTAAATAATGTCTAATTATATTTATTATACAGATGGATCTTATTGATTTATCCTACATTCCCGATAGAGAGTTCAAGTATGTATGCCACATTAGAGACCACTTTAGTAGGTTTTCATGGGCTAAGGCACTTACGTCAAAAAGACCAATTGAAGTTGCATCTTTCCTGTTTGATCTTTTTCATATGATTGGATCACTCCCTACTATATTACAATCAGATAATGGCAAGGAATTCATAGCACAAGTCATCAAAGAATTAATCACGCTATGGCCATCAGTGAAGATAATAAATGGGTGCCCAAGACACCCCCAGTCGCAAGGCTTAGTGGAACGTGCCAATGGAATTTTGGAACAAAAGCTTGACAAATGGAGAGAAACTACTGGTCGAAACGACTGGTCATTTGGTTTGAGGTTCGTTGTGGTTGCCATGAACAATTCATGGTGTAAATCATACAAAAAAACTCCTTATGAATTGGTTTATGGAGACAAGCCCCATGGTAATTGTACTCTGGTAAATAAACTTTATACAAATAATATCTTCGATGAAGAGGAAATACCAGATACAATTGAAATCTCTGATGCTGATTATGAAATAGACCTGGACGATGATATGACTGGTATTAAAATTACTCAAATTAAAATAAAAAGCATTTTATTTATTACAGAATTTCACTTTTTTTTTTTTAATAATATTTTTATTTATTTTAGATTTGTTGCTTGACAACATTAATGATCAAGAACAATCACCTGATGGTACTGTTTGTTCAGTCCCATCACCCAATAATAATATTGATCGTTTTGTGTCTTTGCCCACAAGCCCTGTGCTTTTACCCAGAAGCATTGTGTCTTCGCCCAGAAGTCCGGTGCAATTACATGATAATGATGGTAGTTATATTGTGCCTTTTTCTAATAGCTAGTTTAAAACCCCCCAAAAAAATTTATTTATTGTGAGTTCATACAAAAAGAAAAGCTTACCTCAAGGACATAGTATTAAAGGGACGACTACGATGATTATGCGTGGGGAAGGGGCGCATAATAAATAGCGAACCAGTATCATCATCTAACAATAATGTTTTGTCTTTGTTCAATAAATGTGGGTAGTATCTTCGCCCAATAACTGTAGTTTTGTGTCTTCGCCTAATAACCGTGGTCTGGTGTCTTCACCCCAAAACCCAGTGTCTTTGCATAATAATAATGGTAGTTATACTGTGCTTTCTTCCAATAACTATAATAATTATTCACATGGATGCATATAAAAAAAAATAAAATTCATTGTGGGTGCATATGAAAAAAAAAAAGGATTCATTGTGGATGCATATGAAAAGAAAAAAAAATATAAGCTTATCTTACAGATGTAGTATTAAAGGGATGACTATGACAATTGTGCGTGGGAAAGGGGCATATAATAAATAATGAACTGGTATCATAATCTAACAATAATTTTTTGCCATTGTCTAATAATTGTGGTCTAGTATCTTCGCCCAATAACTATGGTTTTGTCTTCGCCCAATAACTGTGATCTGGTGTCTTCGCCTAATAATCATAGTCTGGTATCTTTGCCCCAAAACCCAGTATCTTTACATGATAATAATGGTAGTTATACTATACTTTTTTCCAACAATTATAATAATTCACATGGATGCATATGAAAAAAAAATAGAATTCATTATGGATGTATACAAAAAAAAAAGGATTTATTGTGGGTGCATATGAAAAGAAAAAAAAATATAAGTTATCTCATGGATGTAGTATTAAAGGGATGACTATGACGATTGTGCATGGGGAAGGGGTGCATAATAAATAGTGAACCGGTATCATCATCTAACAATAATTTTTTGCCTTTGTCTAATAATTGTAGTCTAGTATCTTTGCCCAATAACTATAGTTTTGTGTCTTCGCCCAATAATTGTGATCTGGTGTCTTCGCCCAATAATCATGGTCTGGTATCTTTGCCCCAAACCCAGTATCTTTACATGATAATAATAGTAGTTATACTTACTTTCTTCCAACAATTATAATAATTCACATGGATGCATATGAAAAAAAAAATAGAATTCATTATGGGTGCATATGAAAAAAAAAAGATTTATTGTGGGTGCATATGAAAAGAAAAAAAAATATAAGCTTATCTCATAAACGTAGTATTAAAGGGATAACTAGGATGATTGTGTGCATAGAGTAGCGATCCGTAGCCTTAAAATCCTAGCTATCCGTATAATCCTCCAATCCTATGCGGATTTATAAATAAACTATCCGTAAATTAATTATACTCGGATAGACTTTGATCATCCGTCAGATATCCGAATATCTTTAAATTAATCAGTGACTATAATAATAAATAATAATCATATTATGAATCAGCGACTATAAATAATGTTCATTATATGTTTATTTATTTATTTATTTATTTTATCATTATTTCTAATACTTTCAGTAAAAAATATCTGCTTCTAATAAAAGACGAAATATATCTGATTCTAACATTCCTGACTCTGATATTTCTGATTCTAATATTTCTGACTCTAATATTTCTGATTTTAACGAATCTTCTGACGAAGAAGAAATTGTTTATTTGGATTTATCAGGAAAGATCAGTTGGGTGTAGACATTTTTTCGACAAGAACTTCGTAAAAAGAAAGGCAAATAGACGAAATATTCAATATGTAAAATTAAAGTATCAAATGATAAAGAATGTGGAAGAAAATACAAAGCTGGTTCCTCAACTGGTAATCTTATTAACTATTTAAGTGCTGAACATGGTATAACAAAGATCGATCAAATTCCTAAAATGGTAGATTAATATATATATTCGATATATTATACATATTAATTTTGATATTAATATGAATACAATTAATTTGATAAAATTTAGATAAGATCTATTCGTCCTTATGATGAAAAGCGACAAAAGGAATTACAACAATTACTTGTTACTTGGCTCATAGCAGATTCACATCCTTTAATTATTGTTCAAAGTGAATTTTTTCATTGATTTATAAATGAGCTTGATCTGGCATTTCTAATTCCTGATGTTAAATTAATTAAGCAAATTATTCATCAAGCTTATAATTATACAATTCCTATTTTACGAGAATTTATTAAACATAATACACTTAAAGTCTCACTTACAATGGATTTATAGACAGCCAAAAATCGGCAAGGCTATATTGGAATTACATGCTCATACATTGATTGTCAATTTAAATTAAAAGAAATAACTCTTA